TTTACTGGATGACATTACAATATTGTGTACCATAATTTGTACAGACTGTTTGTCAAAGAATTGTCTTAATGTACAAGTTCCTCAATATGCGAATCGATTAATAATTGGCCAGAGTTAGCTCCCACACCCAAATCATTCAAATAATAGTGTTCTTTCAGTTGTGGGAATGTTAAATAGGTATAAACTCTACCTCAATGTCAAACACCTAACTCACACCTACTGCTTCATGAAAAAGGGTTCATGGCCAGTCCATATTCCAAAACACATCCCTATTCACTTTGATCAAATGCTACCCAAACCTTGCCTCCTTTTCACCCCTAAGCTGCCCTTGCCCCTAGAAAACCATGACAACCAGACAACCCTTACCAACAGGTTGTCCTTAACTCCAGACTCCCCTTACATCCAGATTGCCTTAGATTCAGACTCCCTTTGCCCCTTGAGTCTCTTACAACCAGACTCCCCTTACATCCAGACTCCCTCTACCACTTGAGTCTCTTACAACCAGACTCCCCTTACATCCAGACTCCCTCTACTCCTTGAGTCTCTTACAACCAGACTCCCCTTACATCCAGACTCCCCTTACACCCAGACTCCCCTTTCACTAGACCCTTGACTCTCTTACAACCAGACTCCCCTTACATTCAGAATCTCAGACTCCCTCTACCCCTTGAGTCTCTTACAATCAGACTCCCCTTACAACCAGCCTCCCCTTACACCCAGACTCCCTTTACACTTGAGTCTCTTACAACCAGACTCACCCAGACAGCCCTAATCACCCAGACTCCCTTACACCCAGACTCCCTTACACCCAGACTCCCCTAATCACCAGACTCCCCTTACACCCAGACTCCCCTTATCACTAGACTCCCCTTACACCCAGACTCCTCTCTCCTACACCCAGACTCCCTTATCACCAGACTCCACTCCCCTTACATCCAGAATCCCTTAACCCTTGACTCTCTTACAACCAGACTCCCTTTACACCCAGACTCCCCTTACCCCTTGAGTCACTTACAGACTCCCATTACACCCAGACTCCCTTATCACCAGACTCCCCTTATCACCAGACTCCCCTTACACCCAGACTCCCTTTACACTAGACTTCTCTTACAACCAGACTCCCCTTACACCCAGACTTCCCTTATCACCAGACTCCCCTTACACCCAGACTCCCCTTACACCAGACTCCCCTTATCACCAGACTCCCCTTCACACTAGACTCCCCTTACACCCAGACTCCCTAATCACCAGACTCCCCTTACACCCAGACTCCCTTTCACCCAGACACCACCCAGACTCTCTTACAACCAGACTCCCACCCAGACTCCCTTACACCAGACTCTATCCCAGACTCCCATACACCAGACTCCCCTTATTACCAGACTCCCCATACACCCAGACTCCCCTAATCACCAGACTCCACTTACACCCAGACTCCCCTAATCACCAGACTCCCATACACCCAGACTCCCCTTATCACCAGACTCCACATACACCCAGACTCCCCTTATCACTAGACTCCACTTACACCCAGACTCCCCTTATCACCAGACTCCCCACCCAGACTATTTAGAATCCCTTTACACCCTTGACTGCCCTTATCACCAGACTCCCCTTACATCCAGACTCTCCTAATCACCAGACTCCCCTTACATTCCAGACTCCCCCCTTACATCCAGACTCCCTTACAACCAGACTACCCTTACAAACCAGACTCCCCTTACATCCAGACTCCCTTAAACACCAGACTACCCTTACACCCAGACTCCCCTTACATCCAGAATCCCTTTCCACTTGAGTCTCTTACAACCAGACTCCCCTTACATCAGACAGCCCTAATCACCAGACTCTCCTTATACCCAGACTCCCCTTACATCCAGACTCCCTTATCACCAGACTCCCCATACACCCAGACTCTCCTAATCACCAGACTCCCCTTACACCCAGGCTCCCCTTACATCCAGACTCCCTTTACCCCTTGAGTCTCTTACAACCAGACTCCCCTTACACCCAGACTCCCCTTAAAACCAGCCTCCACTTATCACCAGACTCTCCTTACACCCAGAATCCCTTTACCCCTTGAGTCTCCTAATCATCAGACTCTCCTTACACCCAGACCCCCCTTAGATCCAGACCCTATTAAAAGGTAAACACAAAGAAAAAGTTCCACAAACAGTGATATGTGGAATCGAACCTAGGATTTTTGTGTGTGACAAACAAATTATCCATTAGTTTATTCTATAGCCCTCTATAAGTGGGAAATGTTCTCATAAATCTGTATGTATATATGGATGCTTCTGCTCAACCACACTGAGTCACACACTGCTTCCACCTCCTTCAGATCAACACTGCTCAGCTGGGGCCTCCCAGAGACACAAACAAGTAAATGTCATCACTGACACTCTCCGATACCTTGCCAAATCTGACTGCAACATCACAACACTTACATGCATTGGTCCCTAAACATGAGGTGCACGTGTGGTATTTTTATTGTACATCTTTTATCATGTTGTTAATGATAGCTATATTTTCAGTTTCAAGTCATATTGGTTGCCAAGAATCAACAAATAGACTTCATTGTGCTCAACGAGCATGAAAGAAATTACATGTGGCCATTAAGGATTCGGACTGAAGAGAAAATATATCTACTGACATCAAATACTTTGGAGCTGTGTTATTTGTTTGCAGATTCATTGCTGAATAGTTTTCACATGTGGCCTTTGTCCTGACTAACTGTCTATCAAACACAAGTGAAAATTACCTCTGGAAAATGTTTCAAAAGGATCCTAAAGTTTTCATCACCTTGCTTCCAATCTTCATCACTGGAAACAACATCACTTGATCTTTTCTTTGCAATTACAATGTCCCAATAGGTAAATTACACAGAACAGACTTTATAACTGATTTAAATAATCATCAACCCTAAAAATGAAAACTGGTAACAAATATATTTGAAAAAACTGATGTCCTATATTCTGCCAGATCTACCACACTAACACTGCTTTACACCCAAGAACACACAGATAAGTTCTTGAGGAAAATCTGTTTTATATTTTTTTCACACCTACCACAACAGGGTTTTCAAATTAAAATTCTGAAAATCAGGAAATCATAAAAGTCTGGCCTTATAGATATTAACAATCTTCATTGGAAGACCTACTCTCCACAGATGACCACAGGTTTTCAAATGGAAAAGAACATCACATGTGTCTTTAGCAATTTTCAGTAAAGTATTCAAACATATGTATAAATAAATACTAAAATTCTTGAAAAAATAATTCCTGTATTGTATTTTGTTATGGAATGAGTTAATTGTTTAGCAGTGTAATCAGTTGTTCATTCTAAATCAATTCTGGTGGGTTCAAACCTTGTTCTAACATATAGATCACACATGTGCAGTACACATCAATATTTCATGAGAGGTTGAAAATGTTTAAACTTGATTTATTGCATGATTACAAAAACTAATAAATGGTCTGACATGTTGTCCTATTTCAGACATCTTATTTAACCAGATTGCCATAGATTTGAAAAGTCTAATTGGTGGATAATTACAGCATATACTTGAAACCATTTGGATAACAGGTTACTTGTCTCAAACGGTGAAGTAAAATATCATGAAAATCCCATATGTGTTTCTCATTTGAAAAGCATCATCTTCAAAATTCATCCACATAAATATTATTGATGTACCCGAGTTTTAGCTGAATTGTGCACATGATGTCGAATCTGGATCAGGTAAACAGATTTGACAATACAAGAAATTACCCAAATTTTCGGAGAACAAAGTGACACCTATGTACCACTGTCTTCCATAGTAACCATCAATCTGTCATTTACATGGTTGTTTAAACCAGTTAACTTGAATCATCTTGTATGTACATGTTTGATGGAAATGTTTAAAAGTTTATGTTAGCTAATCCTGTTCATTGACTGACATTATTCAGCTCAACCACCAAATTCAGTTCATTCTCTAATTCACTCATTTACTCACCCAAAGAATTGTGTTCATTTTCCAATCTCACTTTCTCATCCACCTTATTCAGCTCATTCACTCACCAATCTTATTTTCCTCAACCACTTCATATCATTATCTTTCTAATTCACCTCACCAACTTCCCACAAGATCACCAACCAAATTCACCCATCCACCTTAATTCAGCTCTTCCACCTTTTTCACTGATCTACCTCATTCTTTCATCTACTTTATAACTCATCAAACCTATTTCAGCTCATTCAGATCATTTATACATCTAATTCCACTCATCCACTGATCTAATTCCACTCATCCACTGATCTAATTCCACTCATCCACTGATCTAATTCCACTCATCCACTGATCCAATTCAGTTCATTTACTCTTTTAATTCACTCCATTCACTTCTCTAATTCACTTCATTTAGTTCAAACTCATCTATTTATTCATCAAATACAGCTCATTCACTTGTCAAAATCAGCTAATTCACTCATCAATCCATTTCACTCACCTCATGCACTCATTCCACTGTGCACCTAATCCACATATTCCCCTAACAAAGTATTGAGTTGTGTTGATGTCAAGATTTGGTAAATAGTAAATTAATAGAAGAAAACAATAATATTATTAAGTATGCAGGCTATTTCACACTGTTTATATTATGCAACAGTTAGTATGTGATGTAAACCTACACAACACGATATAATCAAATGTAAACATACAAACAACACCCACCAAACAGATCTGTTTATAAAATAAAATACTGTTAACCTTTCAAGAAGTGGGGCGGTGGGGTAGCCTAATGGTTAAAGCGTTGGCTCGTCACCCCGAAGACCCGGGTTCGAATCTCCACATGGGCACAATGTGTGAAGCCCATTTCTGGTGTCCCCCGCCGTGATGTTGCTGAAATATTGCTGAAAGCGGCGTAAAACCAAACTCAGTCAGTCAGTTTCAAGAAGTACAATAAACCAGAACTGAAAAATAATTCATCAGTTACATAATTACAATAAAATTAATTCCTTACCTTAGAGGTGTATGTACATCCCCCTATGTCCGAAAGCCCCTGGTTCCCCAGACGACAGATGGATGTCGCTACTGGCCAGGATATAAAGGATTGTATTGCACAATTCACTTCTTTACTCCGATCCAGATTCCTGAAAGCTCTTGTCTGAATCAGCGCCAAATCTTTGGCAGGCCCTGACATTCGTCCAGTGAGGAACCGATCAGCCCCAATCTGAAGGAAAAGATTGGTCGTGTAATAGAAGACACACGCACATGCTTAACACTGGCTAGCAGTATGGGGTAATACGCAATGTCGAGGAACATTTAGATGTTGGGTCACGGATATCTTGGGGAAAATACAACACGAGAAGTAGTTAATATTACCGCTTGTGAGTGAAATCATATTAAATATTATCTATGAGAAATGTTGCTCAATTTATTCACTATTAGTTGATCTGTTAATTACATTTACCTTGTTTATGCTACGTAAGATAAATCACAACACCACTTCAGCTTAGGTTGATTTATCAAACCAGGTGTGACCTTCATGAGGATAAAGGTTAAGTTAGGTATGTTTTGCTTTTACATTCCGCTTTGTTATTTTTACAGTAATTATGCTCAGAAGTAGGTCAGTAGGATAATAATTGGCTTTGTCAGCTTAAGTGATTTTCATTCTCCCTTCAGGGTCCTTCTTATGCAAGCTGTGAGGTGTTTTATCACACATTTATGTAGTGTGGACTTAATGTTTAAAGGGAACCTCATTAAAAATATTTATGGATTTTTGTGAAAGATATGATATTGTTTGGGCACAGCTTCGAAACCTTTTGTTTCTGTGATGAAAATCTAGCATCGGACATCTACAGCAGTTTAACATAAACTACAGGGGTTGAAAAAATTACATCACAATTGTTTCAGATAATGTACATGTCCAGTGAAAAACTGATTCAGGAATGGCAGACAGTGCTGAAGGTGTAAGATGTTTAGGATAATTCATACTGAGATTCCCAATCTAGTCATCAGCCAAAACATTACTTGTGACAATTTAATGTCTATTCTCTGTTAAAGAGAAACAATGAAAACTACTTACAAGAAGATTTTTTTTTTAAACCCCATTTATTCATGTCAGTGGAGACAGGGTGCACATAATTATATAAAACTATACCTTATCATGAAGGAAAACAAAGGATGTTCAATGTGGACAAAACCAGTAGTATATATTGCTTGCTTGACAAAAATGTATTTATTGTTTTTGTTATTGAAGGCCAGTAGTATCCGGTTTTCATCAAACTTAATTTTTTACAATATACATTATTATGTCTGTGTCTAAAATGATTTTACATTGAGGCAACTTGTATGAAGTTATCCATTCTCCAACGCTGAGGATTGGTGAAGATCCGGGTTAGAATTGATCTTCCGTACCCCATGCTTGTGGTAACTGGTGACTAACGGGATCGGGTGGTCAGACTCACTGACTTGGTTGACACATGTCATAGGTTCCCAATTGCATAGATTGATGCTCATGCTGTTGATCACTGGATTGTCTGGTCCAGACTCTATTATTTAGAGACTGCCGCCATATAGCTGGAATATTGCTGAGTAAAACTAAACTCACTCACTCACTCCAACACTGAGGCAGGTAACACACCACAAGAGCAACCACCCAGTGATGAGAAGCTATCACTAACGAGGAGTAGGTGTTTTTCTGATGCTGCGATTACTGAATGGTTGATATATAGGCATCAGCTACATGGTACCAGCTACATCACTTAGTAATTAACACCATGGCACTGCAGTTGCCACACTGCCCTACTGTACAACACTGATAACAGACTTTCCCTCATTTACACTGAACTTTTTGCCATGCTTCCATTGCCAAGCTTATTATCATATTGTTGAAACAGAAGTGTCACAGATTCTTAAACGTGGGTGTAAGGCGTTCGCATCCCAGCTTTTTTGGACACCATGCATGCTAACCTGTTTCAGTTTATCATAAGTTACTGTTCACTTGGTGGTGTGGATCTATACTGCCTCCAGGACAGGATTATCTCACTCTGATGAGGAAAACATTGCAAATGCCATTTGATCAGCTGCATTCTTCCTATTGTCTTACTTGGGAGGTGAAATGAAGGTGATTGGTTAATTATCTCCCCTTGTTGGTTGCTTCATATGCAAAACATGGTTTTGAGTGAGTGAGTGAGTTTAGTTTTACGCCGCACTCAGCAATATTCCAGCTATATGTCGGCAGTCTGTAAATAATCGAGTCTTGACCAGACAATCCAGTGATCAACAGCATGAGCATCGATCTGCACAATTGGGAACCGATGACATGTGTCAACCAAGTCAGTGAGCCTGACGATCCCATTAGTCGCCTCTTACGACAAGCATAGTTGCCTTTTGTGGCAAGCATGGGTTGCTGAAGACCTATTCTACCCCGGATCTTCACAGGTCTCATGGTTTTGAAAATCCACCAAAATGTCATCATTGCAATAAAACATTTGGAATTGTACAAACATGAGTCTATCAAAGCTAGGAATCTGAGATAAGTTTTACTCATTCTTTTACCAAACCGATTTAAATAGCACCTGTCAGAACAGATGCCAAAAATATTCAAATGGCAATAAATATTTCTTGATCCAAAACAACCTTCAGATATTGCAACTTTAATTCTCAATATTATGCAACCTGCACAAATAACCTCCCCTTAACTAACTTCTGTACCAATATGACAGTAATCTTTATAAGCACATATTAAAAATATTTAACAATATCAACATGACAATCTATATTTGTGTGTGCATATTACTGATTATATACAGATTAAATAAGTTTAGTTTCATTCACCTTCAAACTAAGTCTGTTTGCTACCACTGGTTTTGGTATGGATTTAAGAACTTTTCCCCTATGTGTCAATATTTCTAAGCACAAGGAATGCTTTTTGCTACAAATATGGTAAGAATACCTTGAGGAACTTGATATCCAATAACATCTTTGGTGGTCAACTATTATCTGGCCAACCAACCATTATATTGTTGAAGGAAAGGGTTCTAACTAGAACAGCCAGACACAGTGTACTTTAGAGGATGATCTTTAACAACATCATGGTGCTGTATTCAGTGTGATTACCACTTAAAACTAATACCTTACAACTTCTTCAACTACAGCTAACTGCTTGAATAAACAATATATTTACCTTGAACATTTACCTTGCTGAACATATATTACGTGACACTACCAGAATGACATTTTGTGATTTTCACAAATGTTTGTTTTTCAACTTCCACATTCGACTATCTCCAAGACTGTAGAGAATAAAATATACATTAATCATTGTTCATGGCTCCATGTGGATTCTACTTTCTTTAAGTAGAACTATATTCCAGCCATGAAATACTAGGGCACTTCCTTATTGAAAATGACAAAAAACAGCTGAGAATTGCTGAAGCTAAATGTTTTCCATTGTAGGTCGAAATGACTTTAACTGTACAACTATGAGAGAAGTCTATTTCATCTACATCAAAGAAGGAAACTTGCATTACAATGATCAGTGAACAGAATAATATGCAATCTAAATTGCCAACCACTTCAAAGCAGGATTGTTGAGCTTTATTTGAAAATTGAGATGCATGCTAAAACTTGCATAATTATTCAATTTCAGAATTGAAATTATAACAAAAAGGAGAAAAGAATAGTTCTTAATTTCATTCAGTTATGAATAATTTATTTGCAATAGAATATAAATACCCAAAAAAGGTGATCCTAATTCAATCCCTTAAACATCAAAGTGCTTTAGACAAAGCCTCATACTCATTGTTCAGTTTGTTGGTTCTGAAACTTATATTTTTCCCTAAAAGTTGGATATGTAACTTAAACTCTAGATGGGTGAGTGAATGTTTTAGTGAAGGTTTTATGCCACTTTTAGCAACCTTCCAGCAATATCACAGCAAGAGACACCAGAAAAGGGCTTCACATGTTGTACCCATGTGGGGAATCAAACCCGAGGCTGTGGCATTATAAGTGAACAACTTAACCACTAGACTATATTACCATCTCTGAAAACAAATAAGTCAAGACAAAGTGCCTGACCATCCAATCCCCAATTTAGGCAGCTCTAATGACAAGCCAGGGGTATGAACTGGAGTACTATTTTGACTCAGAATCAATCCCTACTACAGCAACAGTGTCATAAGTACACTATATTCACAGCATATTTCTTGAATCAGATACTATAAAACTATTATCTTCACATTTGTGATACATTGCAAACAGTTTCACTTTCATATGTACATTATTTTTGTCTGTTTCCTGGTCTTTCATTCATGATACCCAATTAATGAGTTAGAACATACTCCAAAATGTTGTGTCCATCAAAATAAAGAAGTTGACATCCATAAATTCTTGCCTTTATCACTTCTAAATGCTGTTCAAAGATTCTAGTTTCACTTTCATTAAATGTTTTTTTCATTTCTCATCATTTGATTTTTATAAAGGAAATTGAGTATCATTTTTGTTTTAGGTTTCATTTTCAGCAATTTCATGAGAATGGTTTAAAAATAGAACAAACCTTGCTTGTTTGAAAACAAAAAAAGTAAAATATTTGGAATTTGTAAAAGCAAATGTTGCACTTTAAATCCCCAGCAGCTCTGAGTGAAAACTCCATTGAGAAGTTTGTGGGCGTGAGAGCGAAAACACAACAGATGGCTGAGAATATGACCCCCCTCACAACACGGCTAACGTCCCCAATGACTCCACAGCCTTCTCCACGCTGTAGGAGAGATGCGCCACTTAGTCTGTACAAACAGTTTAAGTTTTGCCATTACAACATCTCCCTACATTCCAGGAGGTGTTCAGCAAACTGCTGATAATTTAGCTTACATATCTAATCTGAAGAAATATGCTACACCTTCCTGAGACCAGACCAAGTTATACATTTGTTTACAGGTGAGATTACAACAATTTTGCAAATGCACAAACAGAAACATTCCTGCATTTTATTGAAAATGTAACTTTTTAACATTCTGTAGTATGTCTAAGATTTAAATTATACATATTTTAGCTTCTGGTCACCTTGACAACATCCTGGCTTGTCCTCATGAGATCAACATCGGAATCAGTAAACTATGACATTGGTGAGGGACAGCCAAAAATATTCCAGCAATATCTTAGCAGGGGACAGCAAAAATGGTCATACAATGACATTAAGATTGAACAACTTCCTCATAGGTAACATACAGG